TATATTATTCTGGATTAAAGTAAAACTATGCAGAGTATAAAGAGTATATAACAATTACCGTCTACTTTATAAGGTTTAGCTGCGGTAGCTTTACCATTACAGCCGGCCATTATCCTGGCCAAGTTACTTTCGATCAGGATTACATGTGCCTGCCTATTTAGGGCTTCATGCTTGCTCCTACTTGACAAATGGCCAGCATCTTGCACTAGATAGTAGCTTCAGCGACATGTTGGATATGTATGATGATGGGAAGGTGGATTGACCTTAGGTAAAGTATATTGTAACTACTGTACATGTAAGTATGTAGTATAGTATCTCCGTAGTAATCTGATTGTGCATCTGATATTTCGGTCATAAAAAAAAAGACATGGACGATATATATTATGTAAGGGGAGCTTCTCCTACAGTACAGTCCTTGTAATTTTACTACTGTATCTACTGAGTATGTGTAATCTGTATTTCGTACTGTACTGTACCTCTAAGCCAACCGACTACCTATGTATTTAGTCAGATACCAAATTTATTAACATGCCAGATGAAACCCCACTTCTCGAAATTGCCCCTGGCCCCCTGTCAGAAAGACTACTTCACTTGTTTGATGTTCAGCAGATTCGGGCCCTGAAAATCAGTTGGCATGTACTTGGACGTTGGGTATGAATATATTCCGTACAGTGTAGTACATTACTTCTTAAGTATATAGTGTACAGTACTTAACCATAACCACATCAAACAACTACAATACCTTCAATGTAGAAAATCATCCAAGGTGACGGAGCCTTTGCTGGCTTGCTGGCTTTGTAGTTTGTGCAGTACCCCCCTTCTGTCCCCACCTTCTCTCTTGTACTGTTTGTTGCTCAGCAGTAACCTAACCTACTCGGTGGATTATTATCGATGATTGTTCCCTCCCCCCAATGTTTTTTCCCGGCCCCTCGTCGCCCTCCCCTCCCTTAGTCTAAGTAGGTAAAGTAAATTAATTAGTAGTTAGTAAGTCTAGCAGGAGTAGGTAACTAAACTACGCACTGTGTACTAGTCCCAAAGGTGAGCGTACATTGTAATAATCATCGTTACTACTCGGTAACCTCCATTCCGCTTTCTGTTTACGCTCAGCCCGAGTCTTCTTTCTTCCTTTCCTCCCTACTCCCTTAACCACCCCTCTCCCTCCCCCCGCCCCCCACCACCCTTAGCTTTCGACTTATTAACATCTTCTGGATCATCAGACCCGAAGTCTTTGCCACATAGTAAGGGCTTTTAGTCTGAAACCATTTGATTGTCAGGGGCAGAGAAGAAACAATCACAATCAGCCAAACCAAGAAAAGAAAAAGCAATAGTTCCAAGACCGGAGAAACACACTGGCCGCGATGAATAGGCCACCACCCCAAGGTCGTGGCCAGCCACGGCTGGGTGCGACATGGTATCCAGGGGGTCAGGACGATTTCTACATGCCAGAAGTCATCTCTCCATCTCCTCAAAGGTACGAACTGCCCGCGACTCTTTGAACAAACAGTTGATCATCCCTTCCTAGTGTCCCTTTCATTTGGTTGTGTTGCTAATCGATCCTATCATATCCTTGTTCTAGTAGAGTCATGCCCGAGGTACCGGAGAATATGCAAGACAACATAGCTCATCTTGAGCACGAAGCTCGACACCCCCACCACAACCAGCACGCTCCAGTGCAGTATGACCGCTCTCGCTTCCCCGAGCGCACTTCGTCCGCCTTCTCACAAGACCAGCCTTACCCATCAGCCTACGAACCTGCCTCCCAGTACGAGCAGCAGGATACGGCTCACGATGCCATGGATACTCCCAACTTCTCTCCCTTTCCTGTTCTGCGAAATCCCCCGCCAAACGTCCCTCCAACCGATGAGCAGCGGGAAGCCAACCTGGAAAGAGCACGTATGGCGGTGCTCTCCTCTAATGATCCGGAGATGCAGCTGGCCTGGGCTCAAGACGCGCTCGCTTTCGTCGAGGTTGCCATGCAGAACGAGGCACGTCTGTCTTTGATCCAGCCTCCGCGACCACAAACCCCCCCGGTAGAGCGCCAACTTAAACTCGACGCAATGAACATTGTGAACTTCCTCGCAGAACAACATCATCCCAAGGCTGAGTTTATCAAGGGCATGTGGCTCGAGTTCGGGAAATTTGGATATCGCGTCGATAAGAAGGAAGCTTTCCGATCCTACTCGAGAGCCGCGGACAAAGGATATGCCAGAGCCGAGTACCGGATTGGCATGCAGTTTGAAAGCTCTGGAGAGCCCGAGAAAGCCATCAGGCATTATGAGAAGGGTGTTGCTCTTACAGACTCTGCTTCCTTCTACGTATGTCTCCCCGCGTTATCAGACCAGCTCGTACCCCGCGCTAATGATATATACAACGGTAGCGCTTGGGAATGATGATCCTACTAGGCCAGCATGGTCAGCGTCAGGACTATCAGATGGGGCTTGAATACATTAGCCTTGCAGCGCAGTCCTGCGATGAGAATGCCCCCCAGGGAGCCTATGTTCGTCCGGATTCACCCATCAATTCTGCGGCTGGGAAGCTAACCTCTTCATGCCCAGGTCTATGGCATGCTGCTAGCGCGAGAGTTACCGCAGGTCAATGTTCCGGAGAGCTACCTTCCTCTTGATCTCAATGCCTCCCGTGTCAACATTGAAAAGGCTGCCTATCACGGCTTCGCAAAGGCACAGGTCAAGATGGGTGCGGCCTATGAGCTGTGCCAACTCGGCTGCGACTTCAACCCCGCCTTGTCTCTGCATTACAACGCATTGGCTGCACGACAAGGGGAACCGGAAGCAGAGATGGCAATTAGCAAATGGTTCCTTTGTGGTCACGAAGGCGTCTTCGACAAGAATGACGAGTTGGCATTCACCTACGCTCAACGTGCCGCTCAAAGCGGATTCCCTACTGCCGAATTTGCCTTGGGATACTTCTACGAGGTCGGAATCTTTGTTCCCGTGGACATCAAAGAAGCTAGAAGCTGGTATGCCAAAGCAGCCGCCAACGGAAACAAAGATGCGACAGGCCGCATCGATAGCATTTCTCGCTCCAAGACTTTGTCCAGAAAGGATCACGAGCAAGTAGCAATCGCTCGGATCAAGTCGCGTTATGGATCTGGTCAACGAGGGGGTCCGATGAAACCTACCCCTGAGAACATCGAAATGCCTGATCCGTCCCGAATGACTCTCTCAGACAATCCATTGGCCGCTGCTCCCTATCCCGACAGGCCTTCGTCCCGGGCCCGACCTGTATATCCACCCGGATATGGCATGCCTGACCCACGTCCTAGTTCCGCGTTTGGGATCAATCCCAACATCCGCAATACCGCTCCCACTTACAACCGCGCGGCGTCTTATGGACCAGGCCCTATGGGCTACCGGACCCCAGGGCCCAGTACCCCCTCCACTGCCAGTCCCACAAGCCCAGCACCTACAACTCCTAAGCTTGATATTGGCTACTCGGCACCGCTCGAAAAGTCCAACGCGGACGCTTGGAGACGCCCTCAGCGGCTTGACAACATGCCTCCTGACCGCAGACCTGTAAGAGGCCCTGCCTCTCCTCATACGCAAGTTGGTCCGGTGAGCTCCCCTCGACCAGCTGCTTCGCCTTCAACCACGTCATTCCCCCCACGGACGGAGTCTATGCCGTCTTCGAATGCTCAATCCATGTCTAAGCCTCCGCCATCTTCATCCACACCCAAACCTTCCTCAGCCGCGTCCACCCCTAAGCCCGCCCCACCGACGACAAGCGCTGCCGGCCAGAAACCTCCAGCAACAACGCCAGCCAAGTCGCAATCTGGTCTTCCGGGTAAAGGCCCCAAGACGTTTGAGGAAATGGGGGTTCCAGCTGTACAGAAAGACAGTGATTGCGTATGTTCCTACTTTGTTGCAGCCGCATACTCGTCATGATAGCAGCTAACATTGTCTAGATTGTCATGTGATACCCCGACGCCATCTATCCCGTGATATTTATTCGCTTGTGCTGTATCTGGGAAGTCTTATGAAGCGCGATGCCATCTCTCCTTGCCTCGAGCCATGTGGTCAGGGTCGAGTAGCTTGAAATTGAGGGTCATGAAGAGGCAGCTTACGACTTAAGTTTGAAACCTAGACATTCAATGTTTCTTTGGGATGGTTATGTTTCTTGCACTTCATAGGTTTTTCTCAGGGGTGTCAAGAACACCGCAGTAAAATGAACTATTTTCCTACCGGGCATAATTATGTATGAGAAGAGTGTGGCAATCTCCTTCCTGCTCTGAAGTGGCTATTTCTTGCTCTGAAGTGGCTATTCTGTTGCCCTCTACAATGTTCCGAGCTTCTTGTGTCTCCCTTCACTTCCCCTGGAGAAGGAAGGCAATCGTTTATGGTGGGTGCTGAATGCCAGTCATCTTCGCTCTAAAAACACGTGACACGTCGGTCCAATTGTATTTAATCCTCTTTCTGCCGCCGGGAAATATGTAACTCTCTCTCCTCTTCCCTCCCCCCCCAGCTCGGTGTGTGCCATGCTGCATCGGCAGCTCAACCGGTGCACCAGAGTCATGACGCAGAACAAAGCAAATTGTCCTAAGACTTTTCGCCGCGAAGGTGAGAAAATGATCATCGTGCGAGAGGCACGGGTGGCTAATATCTTTCGTGGGAGGAGCTACTAACGACGGCGCTGAGGTCATTCTTGATTACCTTCGTGCGTATTCACCCCAGCCTCAGTATCTTGTTTCTCCCTCGGCCTCTGACAAATTGTCTAGAGAGACAGAAGTACGGCCAGTCATTCCCAGTACACATCTGCTCTTATCGCTTTGGAAAGTAACAGCTAACTGTTACTTGTGATTCATGGACACAGTCGCCCGTATTCGGTATGTTAGTAGATGGGAACACTAATCCCGAAGTGGCCAGACTTGCTCCTGCTGAAATGAGGCAGGCTATCGAGATATCAGCCAACCTACACACAGCGGTTACCAAGGGTAAGTCCTAAACTAGATTCTGTTGGGTGTAGTTGAGCTCATTTCTCGCGCCATGGCATCTTCCACAGCGTATGCCGCCAGAGCATTACGAGACTTGTGGCACGACAAGCAGATTGGAGGACAGACAGCGGGTAAGTGTAGATCAACTCGATCTCGTGTCGATGAGTTTTGAACAGCACTGAACTTGAGGGCTCTCTTCATCTATAGGAAAACAAGTCGTGTATCACGCTTTACAAGAAGCTCCCAACGAGGTCACATCGGAAACCTTCGTAACCCTGGATGAGCACATTGAGAAAGCTCAGGGCAAGCTTTCCAGTCTTCAGATCCACAAGAAAAAGGTCCGCATGGAGCTCGCAGCCCTCCATGCGAAACCTTTACTGTCTGAGCTTCGTCGAGATGTGGATCGACTTGGTCGAGATCAAGCAACAACCCGGAAAATCTGGCTCACAATGGAGGGGAATGCTTCGATGCCCGTGCCCGTGCATATGACAAGAGCACGTGCCGAAGAAGATTGGAAGCGCTGGAAAAAACACGCTAGCAGTCGTGCTCGGATCTGCCGTGACCTATGGCGAAGGTGCTTGGATGCGTTGCCAGGCGACACAGCTTGGGAAGAGCTCTGGGTATGGGGGATCATGGTCTCATTTCCAGCCTTGAATGGTTCTAATTGGTGACTATGCAGGAATCTCTAGGATTAGAAGGGCCCCCGTTACGCCGATCACTTGATCACTCGAGCTCGTGAAGAAAGTTAGTGAAGAGGCAGGGTGGAAGGGCGGCGGTCGATCCCTGGTCTTGAGAAAGCACATGTGTGCAAACTGACTTACGGGTTCGTGGCAGCTTAATACTGCACTCTATCAGTATCGTTTTGTTTTTCGATAACTTGATATGTACAGTACCTTGTAAGTTTGAGTCTCCGCTAATTCTGAAGGACGTTCATTCGTCAGTATAATATATTGAAGTCATCTGAAAATGTTGGATTCTTGACTGTATTCTGTATGTAGCACCGACAGGCAAGTATAGGCCAGGCTACTTAAGGAGAACTTGCATACACTAAGAAGAAGAGAAAGAGAAAGAGGAGGAGGAGGAGGAGGAGGAAGAGGAAGAGGAGATTCTCGTGATACATAGTTATTATATGGTACTGGTACAGTATTAAGTCCAATCTGGCATTGTGTCTGGTAGATTCATTTGCCCGCTTTTTTAAGGGTTTCCCTTTTTCTTTTACTGTATGAAGTATACCATACTGTACATACATGCTGTACGAGTCATCAACACTAGTAGTCTACGAAGTACTCTCTATCTAGTAATAACCAGTAACTTAGTTATTGCAATTACACTTTTTTTTTTTTCGGCGGCTCACCGCCCACGGATTTCCCTCTCCTTTGATCATCCCGAGGATGGACTTCATCCGCTCGCTCAGACTGAAGTACGAGCGAGTACTGTAGGACCGTTCAACCTAGTTGTTTTTTCCTTCCTTCCCTAGCCATTCCCACCACCCTTCCCTCACCAACTTCCTATCTTTGTCCGATAATCCTCCGGCGGTTTTTCGGATCTCCTTGCGTGTGTTGCTGCGCTGCCATCACCTTTGCCCACCTTGGCGATGCAGCTGTCGGCATCCCGCAGCCCTTCTCCGCCTATTCAACCTTCTTCCCCTCCTTCCAACACCACCAACACCACCACCACCACCATCACCACCACTCCAATTTACCCTACCACCACCGCTTCCTCCTCCACCTTCGCCCCCTCTTCTTCCTCTATCTGTCCTTCTTTCACCGCCACCGTCGCTCCGGTTTCCCACTCTTCGACTCGCACCTCAAATCACTTTTTGAGTGGCATGAAAGGTCGCGCGCCTCTCCCGGTCCCCTCCGGTCCTCAATCACTCCAGAACGGTCATTCCCGCAATCCCTCCGGCTTCGACATGGCTGCCCGCAGTCCTCCCAATCAAAGCAGTAAGTCATATATGTCTCGTTCCCATCCCCGCAAACCGATCTGCTCCCTTTGCCTCCCCGCACTTCTTCATATACGGCATAATTGAGGGCATTGCATTCGGCTTGTTGCCTTTCACTTGTGCTTCTCTGTCATCAATTTCATTACACTTCCCCCCCATGGATGATCAATCGCTAATGCTTTTACAACTGCCCCTACTCAGATACCAAGCATGTGCCTTGCAAATTCTTCCGCCAGGGTGCTTGCCAGGCCGGGCCTGCATGTCCCTTCCTTCACTCCACTGATGCAGCAATAGACTATGCGCCTTGTAAATATTTCACCAAGGTATTAGATAGCTAGGCCGCCTATCATGAGCCTTGTGTGTTCCAGAATTTCCTCCCACGGCTGACAGCTTGTGCTTTGGATATAGGGTAACTGCAAATTCGGAGCGAAGTGTGCGCTGGCGCATATTCTGCCCGACGGCCGACGTGTCAACCGCCCCAACCCAGGAATGGGACTGGGTGGTGGTCACCTAAATTTGGGTGGTCGTGTTAATCCGCAAGCCTACGTGAACCAGGATTCTGCCTTGACCAACTCTGTTTTGTCGCAGCAGCGGATGAACGGCCATGATCCAAGATATGCCCCTCAGCTTCCGCCCCAGTCACCACCACCGCAACCGTTGCCCTATGATGCGATTCCTACTATCGATACTGGACTGACATCCGACACTAATTCCAAGTACGGGTCGCCTGTCGACGATGTACGATATCCCATGTCACCAAATCACCGCCATCTGACTGCACTGGATGCTCCCCTTCCCGCGTCGTTTGACAGCCAAGGCATTTCGCACGCGGCTCGGTATGGCCCGGTTGCGGCTTCCATGCCTTCGAAATTCGGGTTAGAACTGTCGCCTCCAGCACAACGAATGGGCGCACCATCAGATGCCCTTCGAACCCTTCGGGACACGGCTTACGGATCCGATCTCAGGAAATCATCTTTCATTGGGTCATCGCCCCCTACCCTACCAGAAGATGGAATGGGCCCCCGCTTCCTTCATTCCCAACGCCCCATCAAGACACGAATGCTCTCGGCAAGTGTGCCACGACCCACCGCTCTGGATGACTGGGACGATAGCAATTTTCCAATGGAAGAAGACTATCTGCCGATCAACTTACACGACGATGTTCTTACCCCGCAGGAGCGACTTCGGCGCCTCTCGCGCACCGATCATGATCTGAGTTCGAGCCATCGCGAGCTCAGCGGACTGGGCATGACTGGCACCAGTTTTTCCAAAGTGGGCTCTCCCTTGGCTTCCAGCCCATCCCGATTCGGGGCTTTGTTTGCCAAGCAGCGGCAGAAGCGAGAGGAAGACGCCCATGGTAGTGCGTCTCTGACACACATTGGCTCACCTTTGCGGGAGTCTTCGTTGAATCTAGGCACCAGCCCGAGCCTGGGCCCAATCGGCAGCCGGCAGATCTCTGGAGACATCTCTCCGTTCGTGTCGAGTGCCCCTCGCCAACCGTCGATGTCCATGATCTCTCAACAGCTCAGTGGCATGTCTCTACACCCCGGTCCCCCTCGCCATTCGGCATCTGCAGGCCCTAGCAGCCGTCTGGATCGTACCATCTCATCGCCGGTCAGTACCAGCAAGATTGACGAAGAGCAAAGTGACTTGGTTTTCTCCATGGAAGAAGAAGAGAACAACAAGCGAAACAGCAGTTCTTGGGATTCTCACAAGGCGGATTCAAATGACGATGAGCCGACTTCCACGAACAACCCAGAGTTCCAGCCTTAAATCGCTGAAACATTATCGCAGTCAATCTACTGCCGATGCCTAATAATCGATTCTATGCCCCATCAATCCTTCCGTGGAAAAAATGGAATCGAACTTGTATTTGGAAGCCTGAATTCAGCAAGCCCTTTCGCACAGAAGAACGAGCTAGCATCACAGGTGGGTACCAGTTCATGCCCCGGTCCATTTATGACGTGTTTCAAGACTACACAGAAATGTTGGAGGGAATTTTTCATAGAACTGTTGAACTTTTTCTGGAGTTATACTGCATCTGCCTCTAAGATTCGCCATTTCGCCGCATTATATGATCTGTTAGACAAGGGATGTTTTGTAACGAGGCCAGGTTGTTCCCAATTCTGCTTGTGACTCCCCGCTTGATCTTTCCCCCTATCATTCTTCTCTATCCTGGCCTTTTGGTCTCTCCCATTGTTCATTACGCCATATCACTACATCACATGGCACTTCTAAATTCCGACAAAATGCAATATGCACAAGGTTCATTGGGTGATCTTTCGGGGCAGCAGCATTATCATTATTCTCTTCACCTAGTGTACATTCTACTGGCATATATCATTTTCCTCTTCGAAGCATGCTTGTCTCTCACGATCTGTGCTTGTCTTCTAATTCTAGTCTACTAGCCTGCAGCCAACAGTCAATATGGTGTTATGGGTTACGCTCCTAGCTCGTTTGCCATATTTATAGGTTTGTGTTTTCTATTATCATTTTGATAATTCTTCTCGTTTGTTCCTTTGCTTGCGAATCCAATGCTGATATTTCGACCACGTAAGTATGAAAATGTGGGTGATCGATGAATGTACGACATCTGTCTGTCCCTTCTGCTGTTTTCTCCAGTGGAATTGGTTCTGTCGAGATGCCATGAGTTGTTGATGTAGCAAAGTGGGGTAGGGATGGGTGTGGAAGAAGCAGACATAATTTTACTATACAATCACTATCTGGGACGAGGTAAGCATGACCATGACGACCCTGGTCATGATTGATTAGACTTATGAACGTATACATCAATAGCTCATAATACTTATCAACGCCCAATTCAGAAATTCGCCTATTTAGCCACAATTTACTCGACCAGAACACTTTGGTTTGTTTTCGGTCCACCATTCCGAATGTATGCCGAGTAGTCAACAGTGGCTCATAAGGGAGCGTTTCTTTTCGTCAGCTTTTCGTGTCAACGTCAGACATATACATGGCACTACCTTTAAGGCTAACAAACAGTGCGTTCTGTGAGTGAGATTGGATATGCGCTGTCTTCTCGTGCGAGACTCGATCGGCTATTCTCCGCTGTTCATGTGCCTTGATATCTGCTCGCCTAACACTTTCTCCATTTTGATACACAATTTCATAGAGCTTGTCCGTGCCTGCCACAATTTGACTTGTCATGGTGTCCCAAGCCTTGACTGTGAGCATCTCCACTTGAGTTTCAAGAGCAACTTTCTCATCTGCTCGGGGGCGCTTGACAATTAATGCCTGTCCCGCTTGATCCTGCGTCCCTTTGCGTTTCTTGGTCTCCACTAGTCTGCGCCGCTCCTCCTTTGCAGCCAGATACTTGAGAGAATGTCCCAGTTTCTGCTGATAGGATGAAATGATGTCTAGAGGTGGGGTCGAGAAGAAGAGGATATGACCTTGGTCATCACAGTGGAACTGTTCGCGGACATTTGCGGGTATGGCGGCGTTTGCAGTATCACTCAGATGGAAGACTTCGATGGGACGAGGTGCATTAGGATTAAAGGTTGTCATCGTAGATCCATGTAGACGGTTTCCTTGATACGGCATGTAAGGGGTTGACTGGGCGGCCGAGAAATGATGGGACACAGCCGGAGCTTGGTAGGCGCTAGGGTGTGGGGTCTGCGGCACGAACCCGCTGGAGCTTCTCGGTAACCCATGCTGAGAAGGCTGAGTCGGAGGAATTTGGGGCTGAGAAAAAGCCATCGGAGGGCCCGGGGCTGGCGAGCTCTGAGTTGGAGGTATGGCTACAGCTGGCGAGCGAGCCGTAGCAGGCAATGCGCTCGCCGCGGCACCGGTGCCTTGATTCTCTACACTGGACCGTGGAGGGATTTGGCTAATCGATGACTGCCGAAGTGGAGCTGAGGGCAAAGCTGGCTGAGGTAATGACGGGGGTGGAGAAGGCGTGGGCTCCGGAGGTGGTGATTCCTAGGATCAAGATAATAGGGTCAGTAGTTTTTCCCCTCACAATTGACGCCAAGTGAGATGTTTGGAGGGGCCCTACGTTCTCATCACGCGGGCGGCGATGAACCGCGCCAACAACAGGCGGTGCATTCTCAGCTCCCCATGTTGGCTTTGGAAGATCATCGGTTTCCGTTGCATCAGTCCTGAGCAAGTGTTTGATGGGGCTTGGGATCTTTTTGATCCGTCGGGGAGCTTCGAACAAGTCCATCTCGTAGTCCTTTTCCCTGACCTCATCAGGGAGACAACTAGCCCAAGTCTTGATCTTGTTCAGTTTATGCTTCTCTTCATTGTAGCGGGCTTCGCAAACGTAGACATCTTTGTTGGGAGGTAGGCCTCGAGGCCGTCCGCGATTGTAACGGGTGAAGAACATGACAAAGCATCTATCGACAATCTCTTCAACCCGATGATCGCGGTATTGTCCTGTTTTCACCACCTCGTTGGGGTAGAAGTGCTTCTCCACATGATGGACCGTTTGTTCGGGGCGATAGTACCAACAAGCATTGACCCATTTCTCTCCCTCTGAATCCTGCCATGTGCGATATATTTGCGCCACAATAGGCTTCGTCACGTCATTAAGGTTCTGTATATGGACCCAATCGCCGACCCTCCATAATTCCGACTTGTGAAGAATTCCTTCCGGCAACGGCAGACGTCCATCCTCCATCAGGTACTCGCTGTCTGGCTTCTTCTTCTCAAGGTCGGCAAGCTTTCGTGCTTCCAATTGCAAATCAACGGCATCCTTGTAGATCTGACTGTCAGGTTGATTATAGGCCTTCGCGTTGTTGAACATAAGTTCCATGTCTCTCATGAAATGGTCTACCGAATTGTATTTCTTTCTTTTCGACTTGCGCTTGATGATATCGATGGCAATCGGTTCCTTGGTTTCAACATAATAATCCGGATACATGGCCTTGTCGGGTAAGCGTTCGAAGTGTCGCACTTTGAGTTGATTGTTGGGCCCTTTTAGCTTTCGGATGCCTTTTAGAACAGCTTTGATCCTGGCCTCCATAGGGGTATCGACACGCGGTGGTCTGCCTCTCTTCTTCCTTACTTCCGGCTCATTGGACTTTTGGCCATCATCTTTCCCCGTATCACGTTTGCTGCCTGCACGAGGTCCCCTTTTCTTTTTGCGCCGACTTTCTTCGTCAGAATCCTCTTCCTCGTCGTCGTCGTCATCGTCATCATCTTCCTCCTCATCCTCTTCAGGGAGAGGGTCTGCTTCAGGTATCTCCCCGAGGTCGGGGAGTTCGGCATCCTCTGCAGAGATAATGCCTTGTTTCACCAACTTCTCAAACTCGGCAACGAAGACATCCTTGATGACGAGGGCATCTTCGTAAGCCTGAGACTTAGGGCGGTTATAAGTCTGTGCATTATGGGGGATCTAGTGCCAAAGTCATGTCAGTTCCCGCCAAACATTACTCCTCGTGGAAGAAGCACAGGATTGATGCATGAATCACAAGATAACAATAGTACTACATACCAGTGCGCAGTCGCGCACAAAATCAGCGAATTCCTTATATTCACGTTTGTTGATCTTCTGCTTCAGAATGCTGAGTGCCATCGGCTCCTTAATAATGTCATAATAGTCAGGAACAAGGCGTTTATTGACGCTGCGTTGGAACAACTTGGACGGATCATGGCCACTGCGTTGATTGTGAATTAGTCAGTTAGCTAGCTGAAATGCTGGGGGATAATATGCGATACACAGCGCACAAATGGTGGAATGAAGCTGTGACAAGATGACCGGACTCACTCCTCTTCTCTGAATTCATAAATCGCCATGACAACATCCATCATAGATCTCAGTTGTTCGTCAGAAACAGTGCTAGTTGCGACCGAGCCATCGCGTTTGCCATCGCCTTCGATGGACTTCACCGGCTCCTCAGCAGCAGGTTGCGCTTGCGACGGCTCGGAGATGTTTGGCTCCATCTTTCGAGATAGCCGAGGCCACGGAGAGAAGAACCGCAAGTCAGGACCAAGCCGAATGGAATATACTACCACCAGCGTGAAAAAAGGGTTTTTTTTGGATTCAGCAAATGAGGGTGATATGAAGAGGATGCGATCATAGAACAAGGAGAGAAAGAAGCAGGAAGGGCGAGATTCATTCACCAACTATGCTGAGTCAGCCAATGTGTATCATAACAGCTTAAATACTGTAATACGCCTGTGAAAGATAGAACGACACTGTCCCCTATAGTAAGATACCGTTTCACAAGTATGCAAACTGATCAAAACACATAGCCAGCGAGCGATATATCCTGCCCTCTAGGAAATCTTGGGGGAAATCCGATCGGTTAATAGATTATCTTATATCCTTGCCTCCCGCTGGTTGTACTGTAGTCTACTTCTCAAACCAAATAAGAGTACTGATACAGTTTAGGATTTGGCTGCACAATTTTGGCTCCAAGCCTCCGCGCTGCTTTAATTGGTAGCTGGAAGTTCAGGCTTCATGGCTGGCATCTCCTCTTGAAATTGCCCAGGTCCTCCTGCATACGCCCAGCAAGAAAGCTTTGCGGTTGAATCGAAATCAAGTATACTATTGACTAGCGCTCAAGTGATAGGAAAAAAACCCTAGGGCCGAGTTTGATCGTGCAACTTGCCGCCAGCGACTTCAGCAGATGCGCACCCGCCAGCCATGCCCCACCTTCCAGTCAACCAGGGATAAGTTACCTGACCTACCTCAACCTACTTATATAAATGCTTATCCATAAAACTCATAGCAACATCTGATCAACTCAGACTAGTGCTACAAGACTACTTTGCCCAGCTAGTGGTCAAATGCCATCTAGATATACACATACTTGTTCTTCTGTCTTCGCTTCGAGCCACAATGAGAATCCGAATACGCGGTCCGACTGGACAGTCGACCGTTTCTCTAGATGACGAAGCAAATGTCGATGTACTCCGCAGACAAATCACAGAGTCAACCGGACTATCAGACTACGACGTGAAATATGGGTATCCACAAATCAAGCCTCTTTCGTTAGAGGGCTTCCCACCTAACCGGAAACTATCCGACCTGGGGATGACTCTGAATGGGGAACAGTTAATTGTCACGAGCAAAGAAGGCAGCCTCCCCTCTGACATGAGCCGCGATCAACACGAGACTACTACTGATCGGCAACAACCGTTGAACGGGCTGCTCGCTGACAAGACTTCGAATGAGGGCTCCGATGACCCGCCGGAGATTCCATCACCGGAACATCATGGTACCTTCGTCCTCCGGATCATGCCTGACGATAACTCGTGCCTATTCCGCGCCATCAGTAGCGCGACCATGGCTGGGGTGGATGTGATGACTGAGTTACGATCTGTTGTTGCGCAGACTATACAGGCAAACCCGGACCTATATACCGAGGCGGTGCTGGAAAAAAAGCCGGACGACTACTGTCAATGGATCCAGAATGAGGACTCTTGGGGCGGGGGCATCGAGCTCAGCATATTGAGTAAACATTTTGATATTGAGATTTGCTCGATTGATGTGCAAACCCTGCGGGTCGATTCGTTTAACGAGGGCCCCTCAATGCGGTGCATCGTGGTCTATTCGGGCATCCACTACGATACTATTGCCCTGTCGCCTTCAAGTCCGCCGTATACCCATGCAGATGTCCCCGCCGATTTCGATACCAAAGTTTTTGACGCCAACGACCCTTTGGTCCTGAAAAAGTCCCTGGCCTTGTGCAAGGTTCTGCAAGAGCGGCATTATTACACGGATACTGCAGGGTTTCGTCTGCGCTGCAATACGTGCGGTAGAACTTTTGTGGGCGAAAGAGGCGCTACACAGCATGCAGAACAGACTGGGCATGTCGATTTCGGAGAAGCTGACTGAAAGCGACGAGAATCCTCGCCGAGTATCGACTTGCGTATGCTTCGCTGAAACCTAGATTCAAAGTAGCTTGGCACCTATTCCCATGACCTCCCCTTACTCGGCACTTGTGGGCAAGTAGACACCCTACCACCCTTGAGATCGTTTGCTTCAGACCTCGAACTCTTTTAAGCGTTGTCCGGAGTTAGTTGTCACGAGTCGTGGGGTTGTTTTCGCCTCTTGTCATTCCTGTTTACCCCCGAATTGCTCATTCTGATTCTGATTACGGACTCCAAAGGTTTATGGGAAATCTGAGTGGCCCGGTAGCTGGTGATCTCTTTGTGGTGGAGCGGGGGTGCTTCATGAAAATTCATTGCCATTACCGTACATCTGCCCCTCCCCCCTTCGAGGATATCATATCATTGCTACCTCATCTGCTGCATCATCTGCCTCATCATCCTCCCTATAACCCTCCTCGCCGGTATCTCCGCTATCATCCGGATTTCCACCCCACTCCACATCGTGATCTATGGGATCAGTGAAAAACTCGTGTTGCAAGGCCTCTTTAGCACTGAAACGCTTGTTAGGGTCCAGCTCCATGAGTCCAGCCAAGAGACGGGTGGCTTGTTTTTCGCTCTCAGTCAGCTCCTCCACGCAACTCGCCCATTTCACCAGCTTCTCCCAGCTATAACCCTTTTCTCCTATAGTTGGGATGTTGGTTTCGAAAATCTGCCCATGCATGGCTGCCGCAATTTTCATGCGGCGTGTGCCAAAGATGCTTGCCATCTCGATCATAGCGTCGACATCATCAGCTGAGTTGAAAAACGGAAATCGACGACCGAGTAACGTCAAAAGAATGACGCCAGCTGACCACATATCAATTTTGGTAGTTTGTGAAGTGCATTTGAAAAGAACTTCGGGTGCGCGGAAACCCCTGGTTCCTGCTCGATTGGCGCGCCTCGAAGGCCGGGAGTCGTTCTTTGGGTACCCCACAGATGTATTATTCAGAGACGATGCGCAATTAGTATAGTAATAGCTCTGAAAGAATCGACTGCGACGTATCTGGCTAGAATTCGCACACAAGCAAGTACCAGTGTACTCCGAGCCCTCGCGCTGCGAAAGTGCATCAGCAATTGAAGCACGTGCCATGGGCGACTGTGAGGGCGCCTGTACTTACTTCTGCAAGACCGAAGTCCACTAGTACACCCTCGCGGAGTTCAGGATTGTAAAGAAAGTTACTGAAAACGTGATGATCAGTACCTTATCAAAGCACCGAAAGGTCCAAGGCAATGGGGCTGGGCATCGGAACGCAAGTTCTTACGTCGGCTTTATGTCACGATGGAGAATGTTATGCTTGTGGACTGAATGTAAAGCGGTGAACAGGGATCGGAAGTAATGTCGCATGTCGGCAACCATGAATGTACGATATTGGATACGGAAATCGGTGTGCGGAAAGAAGGGCAAGACTGCTACGACTTGATCCTGATAGCGGAACGCAGTGATTAATGGACATACTGAACGGCAACCCCGAAGATCATGCAGTAATTCAAGTTCGTTCTGAATGCGTAGCGGACTGCTTGTGACATAAATCTTCTTCAAAGCAACGTATCGCGGTCTTCGTCGCTTCACAGAGAATATGCGATTGCTTTCTCCTTCGACCCGGCGTCGCTTCGTTGGAAGGTTGGTCAAGTTGTCATCTCGGATGTGCTGGAATGTGTCCCAGTCATTTTGATAGTGGTCGTAAAGAAGATCCTCCGCTTTGTAGACAGTCGAAAACGTCCCTAGTTGAGGTTCGTACCGAGTCAGAGGGTTCTCAGACACAACCGGAAACATCGTAGGATAACCAGTTAATTCACACCATACCTTCACCTATTCGATTGACCAGCCGAAAGCGATCAGATATGCCTGGGAATGTGTCTTCCAATCGCTTCATATCCTCTTTTACGGAATCGTCAACGTCTTCCTCATCATGGGGGTCAAATTCTTCCAAGCCATTCTCATCTGGCATATTCTCCAGGGACGACTCGCTATTTGTCACGATCCCATCCCGGTGTTCATAATCGTAGACTGAGCCAGATGGTTCTGGCCGCTGAACACCAAAAAATTCAGTCGGCGCTGCGTGTAAGGCGGACATTGCACCAAAGCGCCCGCGGCAATAGTTGGCGCGACTGCGAAGTCTGGGCCAAGGCTTAGTCGGGATAGCAGGTTCAACTCCAGGAAAGAGATAAGTGATGACAAAAGAGCACACAGCTTCTCGTGTTGAGGATTGATCTATGTTTCGTCGCGGATTAGTACTGTACTTACCAGTAGTCAGAGATCGGGGGGGGGAGGGTTTGGTCCGAGATGCTCCATCAGGGCTGCTCAACACCGTCTCAGCGGTACAGAATAAATACCCGTTCCGGTATGGTGAGTTGTTTGTATATACGTACTTGTAACGGGAGAAGTGTGCCCGGTTTCCCGATCATATCATACCGCCTACCCAAAGAGGCAAAAATGGTACGTGTCACCCATTCAACCTGATATTGTAACTTATCGAGTACTCCGACAGGGCGTAGTGCAGTGTGTGCCCGTGCCCTTATCAACACCCCCAAATGGGAAAAATACAAACAAACTACGGGTTCACGCCCGCCTGTCGCCGCCTGGTTTCTCGGGCTCGCCTTTCCTCTTTTCCCTTCCCCCCCCCTTTCTGTCCTTCCATTTCCCCACCTGAAGTATCACCATTCTTCGCAATAAGGATTTCTCATTCACCTTGCCCTCTTTTGTCCACTGAAGTCGCGTGTCCTGCGAGGACCTCCCTCGCTCGTCACCCAATATGGAATATCGCATTCAGTTCGACATTAATGACTCGCTTAAATTTTATTTGAGCGATCCCGCCTCCGTGCCTACGCTCGATGCCGATCCCGACCTGCTCGACTGCGAAACCGACCCAGATCAATTGTCGCCCGTCGTTATCGATAATGTTCTTAATCCGATCGTGGATGCCATTGCTGAGCATCCGGAAGGTCTCGCTAGGGGATCTTTCTATGATTCATTGCAATTCCTATTGAAGTATGTCCTGAACGACCGAGCCAACACCTTCCCTCCTCATTTCAAAGTTGTCATTGCCCATGGGTCTGGACCTGATCCTTTATATTCCCATAGATACTCCGTCTTTTTCCCCACCCGAACTCTAAGCAAACTCCTCGATCTTGTCGTTTCCGGCCTCTCGGTAGAAGCAGATATTATCCATGGCGATCTCGAATCTGACGAGCAGGACGCAATCCAGCAGCATAAAACCTTATTGGAGATGTACGGGTTCCTACTGCAGTGGGCCTTTTCGGCTGTTGAGCTCAAAGCCGCTGAAAAGCCAACGGAGGCTGCTCCTGCCAGGAGAGGCGCAGGCAAATCTACCAAATCTAAGGCCAATACCAAGGATGGAAATTGGGACTGGACAGCACAGATTCAAGCTGCGATGGAAACCATGTGCAAAGTGATGAAACTGAAATTGGGCAGGATCTTCTTGACAACTTCAGACCGCGATACGTTCATCAACCTGTTCACTCGCTCAATCTATCTGATTCTGGAGAGTGAGCAGCGCGTTAAGAGCATGAGCATTCGGATGCATGCCTTCAAGGTCCTCTGCATCGCGGTGAAACACCACGGACATGCATTTGGTGGGCTTTTCGACTTGAAGCTCATAGCTACCGCTAATACGAACGTCTAGGGGCCCAGACATCTATTGTACAAAGCCTAACATATTTTGAGCACTTGTCCGAACCGATGGCAGAATTCTTGCACATTCTCGCGGAACAATATGACTACCCCCAACTCTCGGATGAGATATTGAAGTAGATGTTTCGCTGTCTTGCCCATCTTGTGCATTTACTGACAGAAGCTAGGGAGCTTGGGAACAAAGAGTTCAATTCCAATGACACCCGCGGACCGAAATCTGTCTCCTCTTTCATCATTAAACTCTCAGAGCTAGCACCTCGGTTGATCATCAAGCAGATGACTCTCTTAGCTAAACAGCTAGACAGCGAGGTTCGGCCTCTCATCAATCCGACGAGGACGCTAATTTTCTAACACTTTCATGTTACTATGTAGGCCTACACCTTGAGATGCGCAGTGATTGAAGTCTGCGGAAACCTGATATCCGACCTCAGTCGGCAAGAAGAACGGGGCGATAATTACAAAACCCAGATAAACGCTTTCTTCGACGTTCTAGAGGAACGCTTTCTTGACATTAATCCTTACTGCAGATGCCGGGCCATTCAGGTATATATGAGAATTTGCGATTTGGAGCAAAAATTTCCGAAAAGACGGCATGCCGTTGCAGAGCTGGCGGCGAGAAATCTGGAAGACAAAAGCAGCAATGTACGACGGAACGCTATTAAACTACTCGCCAAATTGGTCTCAACCCATCCATTCGGTGTCATGCATGGAGGGCAGCTTTCACTTAAAGAGTGGGCAGCACGGCTCGATGGAGTAGATGCTGAGCTGAATGCGCTGAGACCACCTGAAACACAGGGCTTTGAAGGTGGTGATGCATCCCATGTTGATAGTGTATTATTGGATGATGCAACTCAGTTGCCAGAAGAGTCTCCAGCCAAAACAACACGTCTGACTGAGGAAGAGAAAGCAGCAGCAATCAAACATGCCGCGGAACAGGCAGCAACGTCAGAACTGCTCACACGACTCCAGTTAACAAGAAAATATTACAACGAGGCCATCCGCTTCATTGAAGTCCTTCACGTGGCCTCCGCTACAGTTGCTCAGCTCTTATCGTCAAGGAACAAAAGTGAGGCTATTGAAGCCATGGACTTCTTCGTCGTACTTGATGCCTACAAGGTTGAGACTTCCCGTAGTGGGATTCGCCGAATGCTGCGACTTATCTGGACAAAAGGTAACAGTGATGAAGGCAAGGGAGTCCAAACCCACCTGATCGACTGCTACAAGGGGCTTTTCTTCGAAGCACCGGATTCGTTCAGTCCAAATGATGCTGCAAATTACATTGCACGGAATATGATCAGCTTGACTTTTGGCGCAACACCTGCTGAGCTCACTTGCCTAGAACAGTTATTGAGCACCATGATGAAGGCAGGCCACATACCTGAAGTCGTCATTTCGAAGTTGTGGCAAGTATACGGCGTGCAAAAGAAGGAAATCTCGAAGACACAACGTCGAGGAGCCATCATTGTCCTTGGCATGCTGGCTTTGGCGGACCCTGAGGTTGTCATTAAGGAGCTCGAGACGATGCTACGGATTGGTCTTGGAACTTTCGGAAGATCCGACCTTGTGCTTGCAAAATATACATGCACTGCTTTACGTCGGATGGTGCCAGGCCGT